AAAATTTTGACAAGTAATTTTCATTTTAGATGTATATAAAATAATTTAATCATATATTATATATAGCAGGTAATAATCACTCCCTCTTCAGTTTTGCTTTGACATTTTTTCCAAAAAAAAAAAATTATTTTTATTGGTCACTTTTGACATATTAAAAAAGTATAATTATATTTTTTCATGTTTTACTCATAGTATTAGATATTACTTTCCATATCATTTTTCAAGACTCAATAATACACTAAACATTAATTAATTGGTAGAGTAGTGTGGTAAAATATCTATATTAATAATTGTTTTTTTGATTGATATATCAAGTCAACCCGAACAAAAAGTAAGAAAAAATTAGCTACGAAAGTCGATGCTAAATCCATCATTAAACAGGACTAGCAATGAATTTTTATTGTTTATCGACATAACCAATCGTTCACTAAATTTTATTTCTTTTTTACGATATTGTATAAGAATAATATATTTAGTAAATGAGATCTGGGGAAAATAGAAAGTACCTATGTTTATCACTATATATCTAGTGAAGATATTTCTGCCTATTATTCTAATATAATGATTAGATGAAAATATCAGTAAAATATTATGGTTCAAAGAAAGATAATTAACTAGTAGTAATTGGATTATGACTAGTGATGTAGATTAATTAATATTCAAGATTTTATTTCATTTTCAAATGTATTCTTTTGGTCTAGGAGCAATAATATTATATTCAAAATAAAAAAAAAAAAACTAAACTTGTAGCAATTAGATTATGACTTGTGCTGTAGGATAATATTCAAAATTTCATTTCATTTTCTACTGTAAATATTCTCTTCGTCTAGAAGCAATATAATTAAATTTATTTACTTTAATATATATTATTTGTGGGTCGGGTTAAAATCGAAAAGATATAATAATTTGAAATTTCTTAATTGTAATTTGAAATTTATGGCAACTATAACAAATATATCATATGAACTTTCCTCAACAAACACAACTACTTACTAGTATAGCATCCTTTCCTATATCATTATAATCGTTACGTTAAAATAATATTTATCATTAATTTTTTGTTACGTTATTAAAACTCTAAAATAATGATTATTTTTCGATTACAGGAACTGAAATGTGGTTATTTCTGATTATTTTTTTTTAATATATATGATTAGTATATATAGTTTGATGAAAGTTGAATAGTCAATATATTACAACCATATATAATAGGTGAGAAAAATGTGTTCTTATCCAATAAATGAATAAAATTATGTCCTTTGTGAGAGTAATTGAAATTGATACATTATTTGAGGACTACACCATATTAACCAGACAAGTTTAATTAGATCACGTCTCGAGTTTGAGTTTCTGTAATTGTAAATTAATTTATTTTTATTAGGAAACGTTTTATCCTCCAATTTGAAACTTTTTGACTAAAATCTAGATTTAATCGAGCAACAATATGAGTACTAATCACCGTATAAGAAAATAAAAAATAGATAAATTATTATACCGAGAACGTAAGAGATTTATCAGATTCTTCTTACAGAAAAGTCACACGCTACATATAAAGTTATTTTTTTTTTTAAAAAAAAAACAATGAATGGTATATATAGTAGACTATGAAATTTCAAGTGAAAATTTTGTTTCTGGCGTTATTATATATTTATGATATTCAATTTTTGAAACTAAATAAGAAACATAAAATATTATATCATCCAAAAAAAAAAAGGAGAGAACTATAAATAAGATAAATAATTATTTAAAAAGTTTAATAATGACGATTAATTTTAATTCTTGATTTGCACGTTAAATGCACTTCTTTTTTTCTTGAATTCTGATAACTGATCCGTAGTAGAAGGATCTGAGCATACTTCCAAATTAAATTCTATTTATTTGATCTTAGTTGTAGTTATATTATTATTTAATCAAACATAAATTAAACGTTTGACTTAAATCACTGATAAGTATAAAGAGAGAGAATGAAATTTCTTTTTCTTTTAATTAAAACTTTCAAATCGAACTTTGTATATTAAAAATCTCAAGTTCAAGTCGTGAAAATAATCTTTCTTTATTAATTATTGAGTTCGAGTGAGTCTGTAGTTTTTAATTAATTAATAAATGACGTAGGTTTTTATTAAAGTGGTCACATACGTGCACTCCAGTTACCAAATTGACTAAAAAGTAGTAAAATAATATGTTCATTTGTATTTTGTGGTGGAGTTTATTTTTAAATTCTCCAATCATTTTGTCACTATAAAGTTGTAAAAATAATAAATAAAAAATATGATAGAATATTCCAGTTAAGATAGTTTCTACTTGCGTTTATATTACTTTATTATATAATTTAATTTACTTTATTTATATATAAAATCAGTGAAATCAATAATTATTTTCTTAAAAAATATATAAAAAATCAGTAAAATCAATAATTATTTTCTTAAAAAATATTCGTCCAGCCGTAAACATTAATATTTTTGGGTTGTGCGCAGCATGGTTGACCGTAACTAATAAGGTTATAACATTGTATGCATTTTTTAACTGTAAAAAAAAATAGAAAAAAATATTAATTTAATTTAAAATAAACATATATATAGGCTTTTTAAATTTTTGTTTTCCTCTTAATTGCATTAATTGAATATACAAAAAGTAGCCTATATTTTCCATTATAGTTATAGTGGCGGTTAAAGTGGACACTAAAAGACACTTTTAGCATCAATTTTATAAGTTTTATTGGCGATTAAAGTCGCCACTAATAAATATTTTTACCAATAAAAACTGAAAGTTATTGTGATTTTTAGTGTTGCCACTTATATAGGCTTTTAGCGAAAATCATAGAAGTTTTAGCGGCGATTATCGAAACCTAAGCGAAAAAAGTGGAAAGTGTTACGGGTTGTTTAAGACTCCGCTAATATGTTACTTCTAGCAACAACATATATATACATTTTAGCAGTTGTTACAGTCGTCGCTAATATTAACTTCTAAAGATTTAGTGTCGATTCGTCGTCGCTAATATTATAACCTTAGCAACAACTTTTATTAGTTTTAGTGGCGCCGATTATATTAAGTATTAGCAACAATGTTTAATAGCTTTAGCGTTAGTAAGAGTCGCAATTTTAGCAACAACATTTTAGATGTTTAAGCGGTGATTAGAGTTGCCACTAAAAGTGACTTTAGGCAACAAAATTAAGATGTTTTACGGGAAATAAGAGTCTCCACTAAAAGTGACTTTACTGAGAAAAAATAAAAATTTTAGCGGTGGTTTGAGTCGCAAGTAAAAGTGATTTTTGGCAAGACGTTTTAGAGGCGATTAGAGTTTCCACTAAAAGCAACTTAAGAAACAAAGTTCAGATGTTTTATCGGCGATAAGGATCGCCACTAAAAGCGACTTTAGTTTTAAAAAAAAACTTTTAATGGCGGATAAAGTCGTAAATAAAAGCGACTTTTAGTGACAAACATCAAAAGTTTTTGCGACAGTGATAGTCGCCAGAAACTTTTAGCGACAAAATTATATGTTTTGGCGGCTGTTATAGTTGACCTTTAGTGAAAAAATTCATATATATTTTAGCAGTGGTTATACTTGGACTTTAGCGACAAAATATCTAAGGTTTTAGCGATAGTTAAAGTTGAAAGCAAAAAAGGACTTTTAGCGACAAAATAAAGAGTTTTAGAGGCAGTAAAAATCGCCACTAAAGAAGATTTTAGCGACACATATAAGTTTTGCGATGAAATTCAACAGTTTTAGCAGCAGACAAAGTCGTAAATACATTTAGCGAAGACGTTCATTACCTTTAGCGTCGGTTTTAGTCGCCACTAAAAGTTACTTTTAGCAACCACATTCATACTCTTAACGGCGGTTATAGTCGACACTATAAGGGACTTTTAGCGACGACATTCATACTTTTACTGACGACGTTCATACTTTTAGCAGCAACTTGTCGCCACTAAAAATACACTTTTAGCGACGACCTTCATACTTTTAGCAGCGCCTATTGTCGCCACTAAAGATACTTTTAGCGACGACATTCAAACTTTTAGCAGCGACTACAGTCGCCACTAAAACATACTTTTAGCGACGACCTTCAAACTTTTAGCAGCGGCTATAGTCGCCACTAAACATACTTTTAGCGGCGACCTTCAAACTTTTAGCAGCGACTTTAGTCGCCACTAAAACATCTTTAGCGACGATCTTCATACTTTTAGCAGCAATTCTAGTCGCCACTAAAACAACTTTTAGCGACGACATTCATATTTTTAAGAGCGACTTTTGTCGCCACTAAAGATGTTTTTAGGGACGACACTCAAACTTTCTGCAGCGACTTTTGTCGCCACTACAGAAACTTTTAAACTTTTAGCAGTGACTCTTTTCGCCACTAAAGAGACTTTTAGCACATTCATACATGAGCAGCGATTAAACAGACTTTTAGCGACGAGATTCATACTTGTAGCGGTGACTTTAGTCGCCACTAAAGACACTTTTAACGACGACTTGCATAACCTTGAACAGCAATTTTAGCCGCCACGAAAAGAGAGTTTTAGCGACATTTATTTCTTTAGCGGCGATTTTAGTCGCCACTAAATGTTGTTTTTAGCACGATACTTTAGCGGCGGTTTCTGTTGCCACTAAAGGCAACTTTTAGTGACGACATGCATAACCTTAGTGGCGGATTGAGACGCTAAAAGTGACTTTTAGCGACAAAATTCATAACCTTGAGCAGTGGTTTTCGTCGCCACTAAAGGTGACTTTTACTGACAGACTAAATTGTTCGAGCCCCAAAATAACTTCTCGGTGTTGGTCGCCAGTAATACGAATTGTGCATCAAATGTGAATAATCACTAATTAATACTTTTTGCAGCAATTTTTAGAAGATTTAGCGTAGGTTTATACTTTATGTGTGCTCTAATTAATCCATATATAGTTGTTCTTGTAATCAAACTGACATTTCAATCAATATATTCTTCATTATCATTAGCATTATAGATATATCATAAACAAAAGGAAAAGTTGAACAGAAAGATAAACAGGAACATAGTATGGATTTGAAATCCAAATATGCATTAAATTGGGAAAAATTTACAAGGAAGTATCTCCCAACAAGGGCAAGCAATCTACTAAAACTACATCTCTATTCCCCCACTCAGCAATTAGGAAGGGGAAAAACAAATAGTGGTCAAGCCATTGGAATAATAGAAAGCCCACAAGGCTTTGGTCCAAGGGTAAGAGCGTAGCGCATGATGTGTGGGTGCAGCCACCAACAAAAGCCAGGTATGTAAGTAGGTAAAGAGCAAGACTATTATCCACCGAGTTTCAAACTGTGCGCTACTGGTCTGGTCCTCAGGGAAAGAAAAAAACTAGCAAACTCTTACAAGCAAGCATTTCATTCCTAGCACTTCTATGCCAACCCTTGATTCCTCCCTACAAATTTGTAAACACTAAACCTATATGATCAACATAATGTGAATCACTGTGTGGCGTGAACTTGAGTTAGGACCAAAAAGGAAAAAGGAAAACTCATGTACAAATGGTAATTTGCATGTCTCAATGTGCTAAATCCACACTTGCAGTGCCAATGCTTGCCTTGTCGACTACGCGTACGTTGTACAGCTCATAAACTCTTGCACGGTTCTCTGCCCACCATTTTTCTGCTTGTTTTTCGCTAAACCGCTTCCGACTGCAATTTTTGACATTCAAAAATAATGATTATATGATTTCATTATATAATTAGAATAGTGAAGTTCTGGCAATCTAGACAAGTAAAAAGAGGTCTATAGCACAAACAGCATAAATTTAATTGGCGACTCCGGGATAACTGCAGATATAAAAGCAACTAAGAGAATCTTGTTCACATGCTCAAATGTATTTTCTTTAATGTACACATAAGAGGACAAAGAGAAGTTGGCAGGTTAGTCAGCAGCCACAAAAACAATAACAGGAGATTTACATTGGCTGTTTACCTGAAGCGAACCCTTTTAAGATCTTTGACGCCTCCAGGTAGGGAGGTAAGAGTAATATATACACCTGGCTCATCTTGCTCAACCCATTCATTCTCGTTACGAGAATCACATTCTTTTGTTCTGCCCCCATTTTTTGTTGTTGCCTCTGGATTCCCTTGTCTATTGTGAACAGCACTGCGATTACTGGCATTGCTTGATCCATTAGAAAGCAAATGGCTGTTAAATACACATGTTTCCAACTCTTGAAAAGTAAGCTGACTGTGAACTTGGTCAATACAGCCATTAGGTATATCACTGGAGGTAATATTGGATTCGGAGGAAACTGATTTAGGAGATTTGACGTTTCGGCCAGGACCTACTTGCAGCCTTTCAGCCATTTCCTTCAGCTATAAAAAACAAAGACACACAGTACATAATCTCAGGACGAGAAGCTAACGAAACTGAGAAATGAAGAGCAGCACAACTTTTTTCCTACACATGCACAACTTTTGTAAAAATGGTAAAAATGACTCTTAACTTACCTGAGAAGTAAGTGACTTGATCACTTCTTTTGCTGCTTTGCATTTGGCTGTCTCCTCCCCCGCAATTGATATTGCCTCCTTCAGTTGCTTACTAGTTCTTTCCAGTTCTACCTCTTGAAGTTGAGCCTTGCGTGTAAGAGTTTCCACCTATGATAAAGATAGTCAAGGAGTTTGGACACATAGCAATATTAAAAGTTGGCACAAGCATTAAAATCATACACAAGCTTATCTTGTTTTCTATCACCAACTCGATAAATGCAGCTATTAATGTTTTTCATAAAACTAGACATTTTGGTACTTTTTATTTGTGACAGGCCAAATCAGCACCTCATTGAAAAGTTTGAGAGCCATATCAGAAACAAATATAAAAACATGTAGAGAGGTGAAGAAACTGCATCAGAAGGAAATAGCTGCATAGTAGAAAAACAACCTACCTGTGCTCTTAATTTAGCAACCTCTTGACTAAGACTTCCATTTGTCCTTTTAGCATCATCCACTACAATCCTTGGAGATGTAAGTCCACCCAATGTTGGAGTTGGTGTAGTAGAACGAGGTGGACTGGCCCGTCTAGATGTTGGTGATGTTGCTCGAGAAACAATCCTTGAACCAGGAACTGAAGCAGAGAAGAACTTTTTGGATGAGGCAAACACTTGATTGGAAGATTTGGAACTATTCAGAGCTCCCAATTGTGAGTTACTACTAGGAATAGGTGACACACGACTGCTGTTGAATTCAAACTTTTTCTTCTGTTTGGAAGAGCGGGTTTCAACTTGTTTGAAGGATTCCATCGAAGAAAATCTAGTTAGATGAGGTCGAGACCTTATATCCAGCTTAGTAGTTTTATCTATGTCATCAGTTAACCCCTGGTTCAGGCTTCCTCTTCGACTCATGGAAGCCTCAGATGAAGCATCAGTTTCAATAACCTTTTTCAATTTATTACAACAATTATCACAGACACGATAAGGTTTATTGGGATTTGGTGCCATTGATGTCTTCAGTGATTTCTTGCTGCTACATGAATGACAAAAGACAAGACCACAGTTATAACAGTTGTGGCGCTTCCTTTTGAAATTAAAAGGAAGACGGCAGCCAGAACACATGGATTGGTCAACCCCTGACGCCCATTTATGAAGGCAAATAGCTGCCGTAAAATTAGTACCACAAGCAATACTTTTGACTTGCTTGTCTTTCAAAGCTTCCACTAAGGTGGGAGAATTTCTGTCATCAGTAGTACCATGACCTAATCTTCCATTTGCTCCCTTCCCCCATGTGTAAACTTCAGTTCGGGAAGTCAATACAGCAACATGGTAAGCACCACATGCTATCTCCTCCACAAAGCTCTTTGAGAGTTTTCCTTCAACATGACAAGGAAGCTTCCCATCAGCTTGAGGATGACCTAATTGACCATATACAGGACTTCCCATTGTATATACATGACCTGAAGTGGTTAAAGCAACTGTCAAGCTATGTCCACAAGTAACCTGGCAAAAATTGGGTTCAACAAGAGCTGCAACACAAGTAGGAACAAGTTTTGACTCCTTGTCACCATGCCCAAGTCGACCTTTATCCCCATCTCCCCAAGTAAAAAGTTTCCCTGAAGAACAATTGCTTGAACTAGAGTTCCCCACCATGACTTCAACAACTGCAGCAGTATGCCAAACCCCACAAGCTGCTCGAACAGTTCGAAGCCCCTTCAGAGATTCCACTTCCCTTGGTTTTGAAATACTCTTTCTATCTCCATGACCAAGAACTCCAAAAGTCCCATCCCCGAAAGTAAATAATTGGCCAGCAGAGGTCACCACAGCGGTATGCCAGGGCCCACAGGAGATATAAGAAACATGTATGCCCTCTAAGGGTCCATTTACTCTTTTGGGGACCCAATGACTAACTTCATTCCCATGCCCAAGAAGACCAAAATCTCCGGCACCCCAGGTGTACAATTCACCAGAAAGTGTTACAGCGCAGGAATGATTTTCACCACAAGCAACAAGTTCAATGTTTGTATGGCTGAGGGAATCTATAAGCTTTGGATGCAAAACATCAGAATCGACACCATGCCCAAGCCTGCCTCCTGATTCCTCACCCCAAGAGAACATCTCACCCTGCTTTGTTACTAGTGCTGCGTGTTTTCCACTGCAAGCTAAATTTTGGACATCTAGTACAACTGCAGACTCTAAAGCTTTGGGCAACAACGAATCTACTTTGACACCATTACAACTGTCAATCCTATGAGGTCCACCACCCAGGACACCATCACCAGTCCCTTCCCCCCACATGAAAACATCTCCTAGCGCATCACCATCATCGTGACCAGACCCTTGACTTGATGAGCTAACAGCACTTGAAAGGCTTACTCTAAAATTATCCATACCCATTGCCTTCATCTGACCATGTATGTCATTTGAACCTCCAGAAGATAAAGAATGAATTGAAGCACTAGCAGAATCTGAAGGGAAAAAGCCCTTGGGAGGTACAGCATATAAAATAACATCAGAAAAGGCCTTATTTACACCAGTTTTAGGTGGGCTTCCATATGGACTATGAAGGCGAAGTTGGTCACCACCATCCTGATGGAAAAATGATGTCATTCAACTTAGAGAAAAACAAAATTATATAATTGAACCTCAATATTGACAAACATAAAGTATCAGCTACATATGCATGCTTAGGCGTGAGGGAAGGAACGTACCTTCTGTGAGCTATCACCACTACCAAAAGGAGAATGCAGAGGAGAGCTTCTCCGCGTATATGTTCTGGGACTAGTGGCACCAGAAGGAATTCCATCGCTCCTTGAGTCTGTTCTCCACTTTCGCTGGTGCCCTCGTGAAATTAAAGCCTTCAAGCCACTAAACCATACCTCTGCTTCCTCTTTATCTTTGCATATCTAGAACATACGATTGAAGAGCAAGGTGTGAGAGTGAGTTTCTGTAACCGATTCATTCAAAAATAAGACAAAATTGCCTGAATTACATACAAAATTTCCCTCTAAAAAAGATACAGCTGTTACTAATGAAATTCTTACCAAATCCAGTGATCTATCATTATATATGAGAGAAAAAGATTGGTACTCTTTCTCAGGTCGTGGATGCCTTTGAAATATTGGCTGGAAAAGAGCAAAAGCAATGTTTATCAGTCCAATACACCACTAACCCTTCATATAGGTTGTTAGACTAGACTGAAAGCATGTCCAATAAGAACTAAAAATTTGGCAAAATAAAAAAGAAAAAGACATTGATGCCAAATTCATATCATCAAAGTCTGTACCTATGTGAACAAGCCCAAAGAAATCATTACTTACGATAAAGCGAACAAAATCAAACCAACAACAGCTAGTATAGCATGGACTTTAACCCAGAGTGTTCAGACGACCACATAGTTTTAACATGAAAATAAGCATACAAATTCAGCAATATTTCCTCAGAATGACGTATATAACATATGAAAAGACATCAAGCGTAAAATTGTGGTATAGTTTTTGGTGAAACATGCAAGACATAAAGGATGAAGACAGCATGCTAGAGTTCATTAGTCCTTTACAGGTTTATTGATCTTCCACACTGGGGCTTTTCTGTTTAATTTTTTTATAGGTGGTTCCCACATTATGCATCTGCAAGAACCATCTAAGTGTTTCCTTTAGTATCAATAAAAATATTTATTTACCAATTCAAAGGAAAAAAGTGTTTACGAGTAACCATGTTTACTTATTGAGGAGCATATGCGGATATACATATAGAAGAGACAGAGAAATGAAGACAAATAGATTAGTATACATTTGTTGATTAACCATGACATAAGCAAAAATTCCTTTAGCAGAAGATGTTTGATCCCTACCATCCTCCAATTTTTCTTCCTCTTATGTCCTCTTAATTTTGACAGTTAAAAGACTAAGAATATATTTAACATGATATTTCCAAAAGAAGATAAAGAAGCTATTCTTTTGAGACACATTTGTGGACACTGATGACACGGTTCATGATAGTTCAAGAACATTGATTAAAATTATGTATCAAATTTAACATTTAGGTTGCTTATCTTGCTAGATCTCACTAATTTGATGCACATTGGATTACAGTTCTCTCCAAGGAACTCTTAGTCTATTTGTTAGGAATCTACTTTTGAACTGCAGTAAATTAAATTTTACGGCTTTTGTTTTAAGTAAGACTTAGTCAATTAGTTGTTAGTCATGTGTTCCTTTATTCAGGAGTTATTTAGTGAACTGCTAGGTCGTGCATTATTATTTTATTTCATTTGAGGTTCTTATATATGTAACCTGAAGCATTAATAAAAGAGGTCCTTCTACTTCTATTCTGTTACTTCTCTCATCTTTTAGTTTCAGTCGCAGTCTTTGTTTTTTCCTTTAGTTGTGTATTAACCTTAAAAACTTTTAAAACCTTCAATTGGTATCAGGAGCTTTATTTTCTTGAAGGACTTGTGTGTGTGCGCGCACAAATCATATTTCGTGAATATTATAAACGGAGAAGGAAGTTTTTCTTCAATGGCACCACCAACTTTTGGTGGAGAAAGTTAGTGATTCTAGGCTGTTAAAAATGCAGGCAAATCTGAAAGTTTTGGATCTCTGGGAGGCTGTACAAGATGAATATGAGATTGCTCCCTTGCCAAACAATCCCACAATGCCGCAGATTAAAAATCACCAGGATAGGGAAGTTAGGAAATCTAAGGCAAAGGCATGTTTATTTGCTGCAGTTTCATAGTATGTATGTATCATGTCCCTGAAGTCAGCAAAAGAGGTATGGAATTATTTCAAGACTGAGTATGAAGGAGATGAAAGAATTCGAGGGATGCAAGTGCTCAATTTGGTACGTGAGTTTGAGCTGCAAAGGATAAAGGACTATGAAACCATCGAGGAGTACTTTGACTGACTTCTTAACATAGCAAATCACATCAGATTGTTGGGTACCACTTTTAACGACAGTTGAGAAAATCCTTGTAACAGTACCGGAAAGATTTGAGGCGACCATTACAACCACAGAAAATACTAAGGAATTGTCCAATATTACACTAACGAAGCTCTTAATGGCCTTTAAAGCACAAGAGCAACGACGTGTTGTGAGACGAGAAGGAGATGTTGAAGGAGCCTTACCTGCCAAGCATCAAGATGATGGACGATATAAAGAAAAGAACAAGACGTACCAACCAAGAGATGGAGAAGGTGCGCACGCAATAACAAAAACAAAATAGGTAGCTTCAAAGGAAAATTCCCTCTTTGTAAGCATTGCGACAAGATCGGACACGCACCTTTCAAGTGTTGGAGAAGGCCTGAACTAAGTGCAATCACTTTGGGCACGAAAAAAACATTTGTAACAGAAAAACTCAGTAGCGGGATGTATATGCTCTCAAGTTTTTAATGAACAAGAGGAGTATCAACTATTTGTTGCATCATGTTTTGCAAGTAATGTTTCCAGTGAGTTGTGGCTGATTGATAGCGGATGCACAAATCACATGACTCATGATAAAGAACTCTTCATAAAAATTGAAGCCTACTCGAGTTGCAAAGGTTAGAATAGGCCATGTTGGTCACCTTCCAGCAAAAGGAAGAAGAACTATTGCAATTGAGACACAAGCGGTTACAAAAACAATAGCAGGTGTTCTTTATGTACCTGACTTAGATCGGAACTTGTTAATTGTTTGTCAATTCTTAGAAAAAGGTTTCAAACTTTATTTTGAAGATAAATACTGCTTGATTAAGGATTCCTCGAGACATGATTAGTTCAAAGTCAAAATGAGAAGAAAGTTTCTCATTAGATCTATTTGAGGAAGAGAAAATGTTGTATTCAGCAAAAACAAATGTCGCTGAGTTGTGGCATAAGAGACTTGGGCATTATCATTATCAAGGGCTTGTCAAAATTCAAAAGTTGAAAATGGTGAACTTACCTGATCTGGAAGCAAATTCCACAAAATGCCATGCCTACCAATATGGTAAACAACACAGAAACTCATTTCCAAATTCAACCTACACAGCCTCACAAAAGCTACGACTAGTTCACACTGATGTCGCCGGGCCTCAAAGAACTCCATCACTACAACGTCGCATCTATTATATTATTTTCATTGATGATTTTACAAGAATGTGTTGGATTTTTTTCTTGAGATTCAAGTCAGAAGTTGCTTGTGTATTCTGGAAATTCAAGAAATTGAAGGAAAATCAAAGTAATTGTAAGATACAAGCTTTGAGGTCAGATAATAGGAAGGAATACACCTCAAGAAAATTTGATTCATTCTGTGAGGAGGCCGACATTGTGCATCAGCTTACAACGCCATAGACACCAGAACAAAATGGTGTTAGTGAAAGAAGAAACAGATGGATAATGTAGATAACCAGGTGTATGTTGCATGAGAAGGAGTTCCTAAGATATTTTGGGTAGAAGCAGCAAATACCGTAGTTTTAGGCAGAATCGACTTACAACGAAAGCTTAGGAGGATAAAACACCATTTGAAGCTTGGTACGAGTTTAAGCCTTCACTGAGTTTTCTTAAAGTGTTTGGTTGAGTGTTTTGTTCATGTTCCTCACATTAAACGTGACAAACTTGACAAGAAGGCAATTAACAGGCACCCTTGTGGGTTATAGTGGAGTTTCTAAAGCTTACAAGATCTATCATCCTCAAACAGGAAAGATGACAATCACAAGAAATGTTCATTTTAGTGAAAATGAATTCTCAGAAATTAGGAGAATGACCAGTGGTACTGGAGCAGTAGAAGCTCTTCAAGAACCAAAATAAAACCCAAAATAAAAGAAAGCAATCAAGGAGATCTCCATGATTGAGAAAAATAAAGCTTGGGTATTAGTCGACAAACCTGAAGATAGAAAAGTCATTGGTGTGAGATGGATCTTCAGAACAAAGTTAAATGCAGATAGTTCATTCAACAAACACAATGCGAGACTCGTAGTTAAAGGGTATGCACAAATTTATGGTGTTGATTACTCTTACACTTCTTTTTCATGTAGCAAGATTAGACACAATCAATTGCTACTTGCAATAGCAGCACAAATAGAATGGAAGGTGTTCCAACTCAATGTCAAATCAACCTTCTTAAATGGCATACTGGAGGAGGAAATATATGTCAAGCAACTATCAGGATTTGTGAAACATGGTGATGAAGAAAAAGTATATCTGCTTAAAAAGGCTCTTTATGGTCTAAAGCAAGCGCCAAGAGCTTGATATAGTAGGACAGATGATCATCTGAAATTCTGTCGAAATTATTAGCAATGCAATGGTTTTAATTCTCAAAAAAAATTCTGAAGAAATTTCAAATGGAGGAATGCAAGTCGATGAGCACGCCGATGAATCAAAAAGAGAAGCTCTATAAAGAAGATGAGTCTACAAAGTTTGTGAAGGTTATTATAGAAGCTTGATTGGGTGCTTTTGAATGTACCTCACTGCAACAAGGCCTGATATTATATTTGTTGTAAGTCTCTTATCTCGTTGTATGCATTGTGCAAGTGAATTGCATTTAAGAGCAACAAAAAGAATATTAGATATATTAAAGGTATTGTTGATTATGGTGTAACGTGTGAGAAGTGTCCAAGCTTCAAGTTACTTGGATTCTCAAATAGTGATTGGGTTGGATCCGCAGATGATGTGAGAAGTACCTCTGGCCATTGTTTCAGCCTAGGTTCAGGAATCTTCTCATGGTCATCTAAAAACAGGATAGTTGCACAATCCACTGCAAAAGCTGAATTAACAACAGCAACAGGAGCAATAAACCAAGTCTTGTGGCTTAGAAAGATCATGTGTGATTTACATTTGAAACAGAAGGAGAGTACTATCATTCTTGTTGACAACCAGGCAGCTATTGCAATCTCAAACAATCCGGTGTTTCACAAGAAGACCAAGCATTTCAACATCAAGTTCTATTTCCCGAGAGAAGTGCAGCAAAGGGAAGAAGTGACTCTAGTCTACTGCAAGTCTGAAAACCAGCAAGCAGAACTATTTATAAGCCTATACCGGTCAGCAAATTCAAGCTTCTCAGACAGAAATTGGAGTTTACAGTTTCCAAAGCGAAAAATGTTAGGAATCTGCTTTTGAACTGCAGTAAATTTAGTTTTACTGCTTTTGTTTTAAGTAAGACTTAGTCAATTAGTTGTTGGTCATGTATTCCAAATATTTAGGAGTTATTTAGTTAACTGTTAGGTCATGTGTTATTGTTTTTATTTCATTCGAGGGTCTTATATATGTAACTGAAATTAAAGAGGTCCTTCTACTTCTATTCTGTTATTTTTCTCGGCTTTTTGTTCCAGCTGCAGTCTTTGTTTTCCATTAGCTTTGTATTAACCTTAACATCTTTTAAAACCTTAACTATTACCTTCTTTCTATATATATGTTCACTAATGAACAGACAGTAGGGATTGCTAAGCAACAGAAACAAACATTTAGTGAAACAGAAGCTCATGGACTAATTAAGATGCAAGTTAATTACTGAACTATGATAACTTATAAATCCATTTGAGCCACTAATACGCATATATTTAACCACATATTTGACCTTTCACCATATAAGTTCTTCCATCTCCATTTAGAAAAAACAGAAGGAGATATAGAAAGAAGGACAAATTTGTAGATAGAATCATATAAAACATATCAAAAGTTCATAGAGAGGAGATTAGCTCTCTTCAGCAGAGAAAACTTACAGTGCGCTGTCCAGATATTATTCTTGACACATGACTCAGCTTAAGGTGTTTCTCCTCTTTACCTGAAAACCATATCAGAGCAGACTCGTCCTGAAACATAATGACAGACTTCTTCTTTAGACTCCGAGCATTACCTTCAATTAAAACTAAGTTCCAAGGAGCACAGTAGTTATGTTAGCTACGATACAATGATGTAATACACAGATTTTTGAAGTAAATTCCTACCTCAATAATGAAAGGTATATCGAAATAATTGATATCCATACAGCGAGCTTAAGACTATTTTATATCAGTAACAGTTTATTTATAAGCAAAGTCATCAACCTGACAAATAAGGAAATGGTGATCCTCAAAGGCTTTAGGTTTAAACCCGAGAAAGATAGAAACATGATCTCAAATGTTGGCACTATTTGGGACAAGGAAACAAAAAACAAAATACCTGGATGAAGTTCACATGTGTATTCTAAAAGCAGTCAAATACACTACTTCACAATAATTATATGACAACAGGAATTATGAACAAAGAACCTCTGTGCCAATGGTAAAGGCAAGCATTTGGAAGAGAACTCAGACTGCCGATTTTCAGTAAACTCCAATTTTCTTACTTATTATCATGAAACAGAGTGACTATTTTTGCTTCATTTTTGTGTATGGCAGTTGCGTTACTATTTATCAGTTTCAAATTGTCACAGAGGCTGAAGGGCTTTGATTCCTTATGTTTTACTTTTCAAATATCACAACAGACATTCTCATACTATTATTTACAAATCGAAAGGATACTAATTCAACTCGAGTTTTCAGATACATGCATGCGATAACTGAAGACAAAGTAACAAAAGGAAATTGCAATCATGATATTAAATCTTTTACTTTTTTGATAAGTATACTCATATTAGTAAATATTACCAGTCACTAATCAGAACTGAGACGAGCGTTGAGGATGAAATATCTACACGTTGGACACATAAAATTGAATATCGGGAACAAACTTCAACTGCACTGTTAAATAAAGGAGAAAGATATGCATAAATGTACTAATTTGCTTCATTAAGACACCAATGTCATGGTGAACCTACACTTCCAACTATAGAGGATGCCAATGTCCGCCTATTACACGCTTCCTCGTAACCAGTTCTACTTCCTAAAACTCTCAGTATGGAGAACTCGATCTCGATCTCCCGAATAAATGATAGGGGTTCTTGTAACAACATCTAGTCGTCTAGATGTGGGGTCTCACCGAACGAATCTAAGTGCAGCAAAGTGTGGTATAGTTGGATCTACATCGACGCCCATCTCAACTCACCCAGCTCATATGATTACAAAGTTGGGATGCATACAATCTCAAACAAGATTTCAATGCCAAGAAAGGCAAGAGCCAAATGTAAGAAAAAGTAACAAAAAAAGAACGAAATGAAGCTTACATTTGCCAGACGGAAGGGACAAAACTTTGGCTTTCCCCTTCTTCCATACTTCAGCAAACATGCCCCCTTTTTTAGCGCAGTTATGGCCTGAGATAAATCAAATAAAAGGAATGTGAAGCTAATAGGACATTAAACTAAATACTGCATATGCAAAGAGAGAATGACTAATATTATAAGACTCGCAAACAATTAAGATTTCTGAATTAGGTCATGGAAGTAAATACAACAAGACAGACTCTTTAAAGTAGGTGCATTAGTAACACTTATTTTTTAACATTAAAAATCTCAGACTTTAGTCTCCTTTCACCAAATCTTTATGCATAAACTGAAGTCTCCTTTCACCAAAACTATATGTGTTCACCAAAACTATATGTGTAAACTAATTATTAAAATCAAAGTTTTTGTTTGGTGTTGCACAAATTCATATTTGGAAAATTACAAAATCTGCAATCTTTCCTATTTTTTTTTTAAAAAAGTATCTTTTTCCAAAATTTACAAAATCTGAAGGCGACAAATTCTAGTTTCATTAGCAAGAGCAAACTTGCTAATGAGACAACCTTTATATTTGTTCACATAACATCCTTCATTCACTAAGATCTCTATTCAACTATATTTCTTCTACAGAGGAGTAAGGCATAGACCAAAGGCATTACTGAGACAAATCTTCTAAATCCAATAACTTTGTTAAACATGCATATCCAGCTTACTACAGATAACCAATATGACAGAAATGCATCAACAACATACCCCGTCTAATGTCGGAGGGGTAGAGTGGGCTTGGGAGCAGTGTTACTAAAATAAAAGGCATAAAAAAACTCTAAGGTCTGCTGGGGCTTTAAGGACAAAGCTCGCAAATAAAGTATGGACTTTAATGAGAAAAAAGGGCGCAAAGGGAGAAAAAATACAAATAGTATATATTAAGTCCAAGATTATTAATTATAAGCATGAATGACACATATATAAACAGAGAAATGGAAAAAAAAACTATGTCTTTGAGCCTTGATGACAACAGTAAAGTGCACATTAAGTGAGGCAATCAACACATTTTGAGCCTAAACCTACCTTTAACAACACTACTTGGGAGGGTAAAGAGCTTGTTTTCGATAGACCCTCGGCTCAAGGAAAGCAACATATCCAGTGAAATGCATGTTCAACAAATAATTCAGTGATTATTCACAATATTAAGGGCTTAAAATAATGAGAAGAGTTGACAGTATATTTGTACCTGTTCAATATCCCTTTCAATTAGTCCACTAGCTCTGTTGACATCTGAATTCATTCTACCAGTGACAGACATAAAAATATGACAACCCCAAAACTATCGCTCACAGTAAACCCAAATCTCTAAAAAACCCATTTTCAGCTCCAATTCCTCCCATTCATTCATCAAACTCACCAACTCTTTCAGCTCCAAAACTCAATCCTCCCAATAAGGACCATCTCAAATTCATCAATTCATCAAACAGTGAAGAACCCAATTTCTTAATAAGAACTGAACTGCAGTAATTGCAACGCCATTTGGGGGATTTCTAGTAACAGTGCATTAAATGCAGGAAACCCCACAAGGTAAAAAACTTGTAAACCGAAAATAGGTTTATGGGTGTAGTAAATTTCACTAAGAAAAACGGAAACGAATGACACCCATATAGCTAAAAACAACAAATTCAGCTCCTTCTTGTGTGTCTTTAGTTCAATTTTCAGAATAAAATGCTTGTAAACCGAAAATGGGTTGATGGGTATGATAAATTTCACTAAGAAAAACGATAAAGAAAGAAACCCATATAGCCGAAACAACAAATGGATGAACTAATAGTGACAATGAGTGTAATAAGCTGGAATGTTTTTGCTGATTGAGAGAGAAAGAGAGAAGGGATTTTAGAGAGAGAAACAATGGCAGAGAGATCAGGAGCAGAATCTATAGCTATTTCAGGAATCAATTGATCTAAATTTTTTCCAATTGAAGGAAGAAACAAAACACAGAGGCATACAGTGTTGTTTGCAGATGAGAGAGAAGGGAAAGGTACTGAAGAGAGAGAAAGAGAGAGTGTGGATTTATGTAGAAAATTTAATCAAGTATTTTCCACCGTAAAATTATACCGAGAATCTATCAAAAACAGTTTTTTTAGCTTTCAAGTTAGTTTCGCGTACTTCACTCGTGTGATTATATTGGTAATATTATTGTAAATTATCGTGGCAAACAATCTCTCGCCCTTTCAAATTAGCTCAACGACCTCATTCGTGTGATTACACTAAATTTGGTGTTGTTATTATTGTTATTAAATTATAATTGCAAATAACTTTTCTACATTCAAATTAGTCCTTTCAACTTTAGTTGTGTGATTATATTTAATATGATATTGTATTTATATATAGTGACAAATAATTTCTCTACCTCCCAAATCTTCAGTTGTCGAGTTAGTTCCGCAAACTTCACTCATGCGATTATATTGGAAATGTTATTGTTAAATTATCGTATCAAACAAACTCTCGACTTCATTTGCGTGATTGCACTGAAGTTATTGTTGTTATTAAATCATAGTTGCAAATAACTTTTCTACTTCCAAATTAATCCTCCAAACTTCAGTCGAGTGAATTTACTGGATATCATATTGTTATATAGTGGGCAAACAATCTTTCTATCTCTTACGTTAGATCTTCGAATCATATTCATATAATTACACTAAATATGTTGTTATTATTGTTGGTGTTAAATTATAATGACATTTTTTGGATTCATGTGAACTATTTCTTGTTCTTTAGTTCCTTTTTCCTTCTTTGGTGTCTATCAAACGCTTTTAAATAAATAAACTAGTGATAATATAAATTTTGACAAATGTTTAAAGATATATTTCCTTTCAATATTAATATTAGGAAATAATATCTTATTCTGAAGATTTATTAAATTATGAGAAGCAAAACGTAATAATCATTTGGAATGAAGAAAGTATTAAATTTCATCATTTATTATTTTTCTCAAATTTGAGTGTAATGCATAAAGTTATATTTATTAAAAAATACTTTACTCTTTGATGCGAAATTTTTTAATATGAATTTAAATTTATTTGACTCTAAAATATAATTTGTTTGTATGCTCAACTATCATGGTTGATTCAATAACAAATGCACTTACACACTATTTGAGGTCAAATAAAATACTATATGCTTTTTAACTCTTGTTGTCTAAAATCCTTCTTGATTTTTTTTTTTATAAAAAAGGAATGAAACAACATGAAATATATTCCTTTTTTTTTTCTTTTTGTCAAATCAAATAGATTAACAGAAACTTTAATATTTTATTCTTTTCTTTTCTTTTTTCTGTCTCTTTGTTTATGTGGTTTCTGATTAAAGTGTGGATTTCTATTCTTCATAGTGGAAGTTTTGAAAAGAAAATGAAGAAAAATAAAATTATCTTAAATTATTAATAATTAAGATATGGTACTCAAATATATTTACATAAAAATTCCCCTCAAATTGAGTAAACCAATAAAAGTGGCTTATTAATGTTGATTTGATTTATCAACAGAATGCTTCCTAGTATTCATATGTTACTAAGTCAATCATAAAGATTGAATATAGAAACAAATTATATACTATTCCGATTATATTTGGATTCGCTTCAAAAAAAATTTAGTATAAAAAGTATTTTTGAATAATTATATATTTATCATTTTGTTATAATTCTTGGTAATTTGAAAATTTTATTATATATTAGTAATAAATTTTATTTGTTTTATTTAATTTTAAAGATTTATTATGACCATAAAATGCCCCTTGATAACAACATTTGTCTTTTCAACATATTGAAAATGACCAATACCACAACTCTACAAGCTTAGGCACTTTTCTAGTTGTATAAGAAAAAGAAATAGCCACAAAAGAGAATTGTACATGGTCCCTTCTTTAAACATACTTGTGTGTAGTGATGTATTTATCAATAAATTTTATTTTATTTTTGATAATTGAAATGTTCAGATCAATTTATGCGCACCTTGATTAATTTTAGAAAACATTTATCATGTACCTGTTAACTTTGTCTATCGAAGCTAGGATAAATGCAAAAGAATTCACTTGATATTTTTGTTTTTATTGGAGATTTAAACGTATAATCTCATGATTCTCAATTCATTTTATTGACCACTAACCACTTTTGATTATACTTATCAATAATTATACTCAACGAAAACTATCCACATGAAAAAATAAAATGGAGTTTGGCTTTAAACAAAAACATATCACGTGATATGCTTCATTATCTCATATAACTAAACCACTTAGATGTGTTATTTTATTTAAATCTTTTTTCCACTTTGATTGCTTGGACCAAAGGGTCAGTGAGAACCAATAGTTTTTATCATCAAAATTCAAAATCAAGTTTATTTAGAATCAAGATTTAATCGAAGCGTTATGTCGAATGACACCTTTTATAAATATCCAATATTACTCAAACTCTCCAAAACTGTCCACAATTGTTATCACAATATCATATCCTCCAAAATACACTACTTTAGGAGAATCTGACACACACCTAGCAAAATTTTTAATGAGTCCGAGCAGCAAGAGATGAAGGTTTATTTTGATCAATTTCTCATTGAATCTAAAGCTTAAATGTCAATATAAAATTCAATATTCTTCTAATTTCAGCATCCAGCTACTACATTTTAAAAAAAAGTACTACTACTTTTACTGTACAGAGACCAAAGTTGTTCAATTTCACATGCTGGTGTACTGATGAGAGCATTATAAGTTGTTTTGAACTGTACAAATCCAAAGTAACTTAAGCTATCAACAAATAGGAATTCAAGAATCACTACAGCTTCTGCACTTTTTAACTTTTCTCTGGAAACTGTAAATCTCTCAATCCTCAAAAGAACTGGTTTCTTCTGTTTTGTCATCTTCACTAAAGCTAGATGACATCTCTGCAGCAAAACTAGAACGAACACAGAGAGTATCATTGTTAGCATAACAATGAAGACAATTGTTAAAAACATTTAACTTATATACATCAGCATTGCAAATAATTCACATTATCGGAACCAGTCATTTCAGGTTACTAGTTTCACTTTTGTCATATATAGAAGGTAAAAGACATTCTTCACATCTTTACTATCACACCGACAAATACAAGACAGCAGAACTTGACACACTCAGTAATGGCTACAAATGTTTGTGTTTGAACACTATGCTATGCACAATGTACAGAGGACCGTACGTTGTTCAGAAGTGTCATAAGTAAACCTACTATGAATGCACAAGACAAGGTAATGGAGTTGGAGACAGGAGACATAAATCACTTATGAGAGGCAGAACTTTCTACCATGCATTCTTCTGTACTTTACATCACAAATCTATCTTTAAAATTGTTTCAGCAAAAGCCATTGAACTAAATATGATTCTCCAAAACCTTGATATCTCAGTCAAACATCTCAAGATAGAGCCATATACGTTCAAATATAGATGCACATTAGATTAGAAACCAAGGTCTTAAACATGGCCAAACCTTATCTGATGATTTGTCTGGGATGGCATTCTAGTCACTGATGCTTTCCTCACATACTCTTGATGGTTAGGAGCTTCCTCATCCGTTGCTCTTTTGGCAACCTTCAAAATATTTCGTATTCAAAGAGTTCAAATGACCATATCTTTATCTAAAGGAATTACAAATAGTAACATACTAACATGAGCTGAAAAGCTTACCCTCATTTCCTTCTCCCACTGTATCTTCACATGATCTTCATTATAATCTTCATCAACGGTTGGTCGGTCCACATGGATGTAATCCTATATATCACAATCAAGGTAAAATTATCTAGATATAGCTGGATAACAAAGAAGCACAGCACAAGAATGGCATTATACCTTTTCAACTGTACTGGAGAGCTCTCTCTCTGGACAATAATGTTGCTTACTTCCCTTATGGACAAAATTTGAAGGCTTGCATTGAAGATCTTCCTCCTCCGCAATGTCAAGGCTCAAGCCATCACGGCTAGTGAACCTAGCAGTCACCTGCTCCCTGTTGACTTTTCCAATGTAGGAACTTTGAAAACCACCACTAGAGCCAGGATTGGCTGCACCATCATGTTTAGCCATAAGCTTATAGTTGCATCTGCCATCAACTGCCACTTCTCTTCCAGAATCTTTGCGCATCTCTATCGACGAGTTCCGCCCAAGATAGTACCGATCACCATTGTGCATAGAGGAATTCCGATCAGGCTTTTGGTTGATGTAATATTCAGGATGAGAAGACTTGTTTGACTTTTTTAAGTTTGCACCATCCAAATCAGAGCCATGAGAGTTTATCTTGGAAATGGATCCATACCCCTATTGGACCAATGTAAAAGCAGAGTAGGTAATTCAACAGATTGACTTAAGTGCTTTAACCTTGATTGTAAGATCTAGATATGGTAGGGCAGGAGGCACTAAATAAAGCACAATTTTATCTCAACCCATTCACATTTGAGCCAGTAGAAAAATGTAAAGATATTTAAAACCTCGAGATAGGTAAGGTCTCGCTAAAACAAGTTTTCCTCCACGGTGGATGATTCTTTTTTAAAAAAGGTATATCCATGGTCCAATGCAAAATATCTAAACAAAAGAGAAGTTCAAATTAATAGCCCTACATGATTCTTTTGTGTAGTGTTGCTATACCACAGTTCTATGATTGGTACTTCCTTCACATTATTCATTTAAAAGATCAGTTGACTGAAGTATATCAGCAACTGTTGTCACAAGAGTAAACGATATACATAAAATTCCTAGTCTAAATTCAATTAATTATCAACTTGACACAAATCAAGCACTCCTGTATATAATGCAGTAAGTTCATGGTTGAGAACTATGAAATCAAAGTTTACCAAATCACTAAGATCAAGTTGCACAAGATCCACTTACTATGCATGAATTGGATCGCTTGTCGACTTTAGTGAAATCTGGTGTAAGATCTGGAACAGGTTCTCCAGAATATATAGGGTCTGACAAACATTAATATGAAAGTAAAAGTCAGCAACTCTCTGTATTAGACACTAAACTACACTTTAAGA